TATAGTAATATAGTGAACTAATTGAATGAGTTTTGTATAGTGTCTTACAATTATCTAAAATTTAATCAAAGTCGAAAAACTATGTAATATAGCTGCCATAAAAATAATTGGTACAACAAAGTTAATTTAATTTAAAGAACTGTAAAAGCGACAAGGGTGGATTGTTTTCCCTATTATTATAGTTTTGAATCAGTATTTCAAATCGAAATGATTCCCAGAACCTCATCTGTAAGCTCTACCAGATTTCTGTTGGTTTTCTGTGTTGGATTTCTTTATAGGTATAGTATGGGTATAAATATAGTATGGGCATAACCGGATAGCAACTAAAATTCCGCCAACATGTCAGAGGGATCATTAGATATAATTGGAAATTTGGGTGGATTTTTGTTGTTCTTATAAGAGCTTATTTTGTAACCTTAGTAAAGTAAATAAATAAACAACTTTTTGAGGTCTCCAAGCATCCTTAACAATACAACAAAATGGTTTTTTGTCAAAGATATCAAGAATCTAAAAAAAAAATCACTTCTGCGATTAATCGAAATTATTCGGAATTCCAAAGAAGAAAATAGGAAATCAATATTCCTAACACGTATATCATCTTTTTAACCTAGTCTGCCCATCTTTAATAAAAATAGTGTCTGATCACTATGTTTAATACTGAGCATCTGTAGTTAAGACTGAATTAACTTATTTGAGTATTTTTTGAAGTGTTGACAATGCTTTTAGCTATGAACTTCATTTAATTCTCATAGCCATCGTTTTTCCCCTTGAGCATTGAACGAAAAAAGTTATTTTCTATTTCCTTTTTAACAATTCTGTGCACATTTTCCCAATTATTTATATTAATAAAATGTAATTTGTTGACAAAAATGCAAAACCAAAGAAGCGCGCTTCGCTCATACAAAAGACAAACAATCAGCAAAACAATCAAAATAAACGCAAACGAAACCCCCATAGGAGACATTTTCGCTGACTTCCGTCAAATGCTGAGAACGTTGGCCGGCGGCATTCAACAAGGTTTTATTTACACCTACTGTGAAAATGTTTACACTTCAACAGACAGCGGCAATAAGGCGAGGGAGCTCCTCCCATCGAAATGAGCAATATGTAAACCTCCAGGCAGCGACTGCTGCGACGCATCGGGCCCCCAACTCATCCTTAAGCACAAACAATTGAAAGTGGATTTCCGGCTTAAAAAATTGCTCAAAAGGTAGACAAGGCAACATGCAGATGAAGGACAACGGAGGCGACCCAAAGGAGCTGAGCGTCGCTTTGGCATTAAAACTCATAAAACGACGGCGAAGGCGCACAAAAAATGCTAACGGCCTGCATATTATTAAGGTGCTGATGCACAGTGGGCCGGAGGGACTTGGAATTGGGACTGGGATTGGGATTGGGATCGGGCCTGGGTTTTAGTTTGAGTTTAGACTGTTGGCATAGCGTAAATTTATGTAAAAATGTGTAGCAATTGCAATAGGTTCTGTGCCGGTGTCGGTCTCTGGCAGACTTGTATGGCATGGAAGCTGGCAATTTGCGTGCAGGAACAAATAAATTTTGAGAAACGAGCGATTTTTATGCACATTTTATGGTATGCAATGGTGCGAAATGGCTTGTGGCTACTGGCCGTTTAAATTGTGGAATTGGCTTTAAAATTACTCATGTGAGTAAATCAACTTTAAACATAAATGAAAAAGGATGGGCCATAAATACTCTGCTATCATTTAAATTCGCATGCAGTAAGTAAAGAAATTGAAAAGAAAAGCCTTGTTATTAAAAATGCTATTGCGAATATTTCTGTTATGTATGTTATTTTTGAAATATTTAAGTATTTATTTTCAAAGCAATCACCAGAAAGAATAAAAATGTAGCATTCATTAAACTCTCATTAAATTTAAATTTCAATTAAGGATCATTTTAAAGTGATGAGTAATGTTCGTAATTGCGGAAGTTGCGGTCGAAATAGTACCTAAATTTATCCAAAACCTCCGTTGCGATTAATGGAAATACAAACAAAAATAAACAAATCAATGATTTATTGCATTTCAACAGAAAGATTTTTTAAAATCGTATATACTTTGCAACGCAGATGATGTATTTTTTTACACTCGGCTAAGTTCTCTGAAAATGATTGGAGATGATTATTTTTATGATAGCAGTACATTGAGATAAACGATTTGTTTTCATTTGTAAAACATTAAGACTAGACCAGTTCATACTGTCCGTTGATTCGGTTGCAAGCTGTCCACTACTAGAGATAGTTAGAAGTTTGTAAGAGCTGCCTAAAAGTGGAGGTAGTCTGTACTCGATTAGTATTCTTTGATATTTGTTATATTAGATCTAAAGGAACTTAATTTTTAACTTTTGTGTACATTTAGAATCTATTTTACTTATAAAATTCAAATAAATGATATTTGTTATATTAGATCTGAAGGAAATTAAATATAAAGTTTTGGTGTAGATTTAAAATCTATTTTCTTATATAACACTGAAATAATTGTTAAATTTAAGTACTTTTTTACTACCGTTTATTCCTATCATAAATTATCGATCTCTGCTTCAACAGTAATTCTGATGTAAGGATAGGTTTTTGTAGTTCCTCCAGTCTGCTATAATTAAATATTTTCCTTCTACTTTATTCTTTTGACAAAGCAACGCAATCATTTGCATTGTGATCCACATAATGTACATACATTTTGATGACTCAGAACCGTGTCGAAGCAAAAATAAAGAATTACAATCTAAAAAAAACTTTACCAAAAATCCGTATATAAATGGCAAATAAATAAAGTTCTTTGTGGAATACCCAAAAATAAACAAAGTAGATCGAAAAAATAGGAACCGAAACGAACCAACGACAAACAAAAAACCCAAATACCCGGATCAATGCTAAACAATTTGCAATAATTTTGAATTTAGACAAATAATATGAAAAAGAAAATACACATACAAGTATATGTATATTTAAAAAGTGGGTTAGATATGCTAATTGTGTACCCTGTAGATTGGGGCAACGGTAAAGAATCGAAAGAAATTAAGAAAACGAATGAAGTGTTGGCTACTGGGATAGCATAGGAAATGAGGGAGTGGGCTTAAAAATAAATACGACACGTAAATGAAAAAGATATGGAAAAATAAGAAATAACATTTTGAAATACCTTCAAATTGGATTTATGATAGCTACCAGGGCATAGTTATATTGGAAAATAAATCAAATTCTAATTACAAAATATTCCCATTTTAGTTCATTGAACTGTGTGAAGCAAAGTGTATATAAGAATTTATAAGCACTTTTTATGATTATATCATAATTCTCTTACGGTCAATCTACAAGTAGAATTTCTAATTCGAGTATGTAACTGAATTATTCTGTAGCGTTACCTCAGCGACGCTACATACATTTTGATTGGAATGAATCGCATTTGAAGACCTTAACCTCGAAAATAGCACTGAGCTGTTTGCTGGTTCTGTGGGTTAGCGAAGCATTTCTTATTTGCATATTCTTCGCTTCCCTTCATTTTTTTTTTTTTTTTTTTTTTTTTTTTTTTTTTTTTTGGTTTTTTTGTATTATTTTCTTCCCATCTGCAATCGAAGCATGAAACTGGCATAATAATTTTTGTCACACAATTGAGAGGCAAACGAAATTGCAAATGACCGTCGGCAAAACACCAAAAAGAATTGGCATTTGCTATGGGCAGGGCTGTAATACTCGTGTGTTCCGAGAGTCTTTTATAGATACAATTTTAGATGCCTTATCATTGTGCACGCGTTTCGATTGCACGTTTAGTGTCCGTTCGGGTTCAATGGCATCAAAAAGTTTTCACCCAATTGTATTTAAAGTTTCTGAAGTGCTTCGAGCGAGGTGCATTCAACTATAAAAATCTACTTATGAAAATTATGTTAATTTTACTTGAAGAGAGAAAGCCGGAGAAATGAAATCTTATTAAATCGGGTCCAGGCACAAAAAGGATAAGCATAACGGCAGACAATTGGCAAACAAACAAATTGCCAAAAATAACAAGAGTCAAGAGTCAGAGTGGGTTGTGAGAAAAATTTGAGCAAGTAGAAATTTTGATGAAATGTTGTCTGCCAAGTGTTTTGGAGCGGGTCGCTTCACAATCAAAAGGCTTTCCCTTCCTTCACAACTTCGTTCTTGGGGCTGAAGGCGAGAGTCTCTGAGTCTTAGACAGTCAGGCATAAGTTTTGTCTGCCTGCCTGCCTGCCTGCTTGACTTTCCTCAATATTTGCACTCGTAGGCGTTGCCAACTGAGAGCTAATTCCGCCAGTTGTGGAGCATACTGGGGAGGAAGTGACATGGAGTGCCATCTGGCTGTGTACATTTCAAAAGATATTTTGTACATATGTACTTACTTATATATTACGCGTATTGACTTGGCACCAAAGGACATTGAGTGCTCGGCAAATATTGTAATCTGTTTTTCGTAAAGTTTTTAATGTAGTTTTTACATTAATAAATGCTTTATTCCTACAAGTTAGTGCTCTGCATGTGGAGCGAAGTCATGGATATTTGAAATGGTTTTGAATAGAAACAACCATTACTGACAATTTTTCTTTGAGTCTTGAGGTACTATATACTTTGAATATTTCATAATTGTATTTATCATACGTAACATTAAAAAATTGCAAGCAGTTTGGGCTTATCGATTGAGTAACTGCTTAACACGTTGGCTGCCTGATATGTAATCGGTTTAAGTAGGAAACTAAAACTCTTTGAAGTGCAAATAATGGAAAACGAATAACTTTTTCTTTTCTTCGCAACCTCTTTCTACTAAGCTATTTATTAAAAAATCATATACTTCAAATCAAAGAGAACAAGGTTGAAAGGTTAACTAATTCGTTCCATAACTTTTGAACAATAATCAGCTGATTAATAATACTAATCAAAAAGGATCATCGATCACTTATTAAGAAGGGTAAAATCATTTATTTTCATATTTCAAAATAATAATAACTTTTAACAATTAGAAATATTTTCTTTTCAGCAGCTCAGGAAAATAGTCCGTTGCCTGCGAACGAATTGAACAGAAAAAAAAGGGCAACACAACTACAACAAGAGCCAACAGCTTCCGGAACTAAAATCGGTATTAACGGATTTGGTCGCATCGGTCGCCTAGTTTTGCGTGCTGCCATTGAAAGAGGCGACTCTGTGGTCGCTGTCAACGATCCTTTCATTGATGTGAACTATATGGCTTACATATTGCAGTCCGATTTCGACCAAGAAAATATCCTGGGTACCGTATCCACTAAAGATGGTTTCCTAATTGTTAACGACCAACAGATCAAGGTACTCAACAAAATGAATCCCAACAAAAACGACTGGGCCGCGACTGGTGCTGAATACATTGTAACGATTACTGAGGTCCCCAAAATAAACATTGGATAATTTAAAAAAAAATATATATATATACAAAAAGGCTGCAGCTTACGCCAACTCAGAATTGACACCAGCTTGGAAAGGAATTCATAGTTGCTTACAACTATTTGAATAAAAAAAAACCCCCGTTAGACACAGACAAATGGAAATTACAACTTAAAGTCAGCTTTTAACAATGGATTACGAACCAAATAGGAACATTATTTGAAAGAGTTTAATTTAACACTTCTTAAGAATTTTAACTAACCTCCTGTACATTGTCTTGCCTTTATTAAGGTTCTTAAAATGAATGTGAACCTGTATGAATGTGAAATGTGAACCTGTATTTATAATATGCCTATGTTTATATAATTCCGACTCGCCACGACTCTCTGCAGAACTTCCAGCTAGTCCAAATGAACGGTGAACGCAATCCTTTTTATTGACTTATGGTGATATACACAAATGCATATTTACATATTCATTGTAAAATACTTTTAAATCTTCAATTTGAATAAATACTGCGCAATACGTAACTTTAGTTGAATCTATGTTCATTGCTATTTACATTATTTACAGATTTAGTCATGCAGAACTCTAATATATATTTTGTATTGATACCATCTACTGTTTTCTTTTTTACTCATTCATTAAGCCCGAACTGTGCTCATTCGTTTCGATAATAGAGCATTGTTTAATAAACTTGGGGCTTGAAATCTGATAAAGGGAATGAATATAATGAACATTAAAGCAAATTAAATTTCATGGGTTAAATATGTATTGATTCATATTATTTAATATCTACACATGCAGAGCTTTATTGCGTACATATTTACGTAACTATTTTATATAAATATAAAGCTAGATTCAGATATTCAGCCAATGCCACTGAAGGCTCCAAGGCTGCCTTAAAACAACGACTCATGTGTAAATTATGTTCGTACTAGAGGCCTGCGTGGCTGCATGCATTTCCAAGGCAAAAAGCCCAGCGAATGATTTGCACTAAACAAATAGTGAATAATTTATCAATAAATTGATAATTCAACCGCCAGGTAGACATTCTTGCATTCAAACTCAAACAAATTTCGTTAATTTTCGCTTCTGAATGCTTTCATACAGCCCTCTAACCCATACTAACAACTATTTACTGTTTATTTTTCGCTGAGACTCACGCACCAAAGACCCACAAGCTCTGTGACAATAATAATTGATGCCCTTTTAAAACAAAATCAATTACATTAAATTAACAGCAATCGCGACATATGTCGTTAAGTGTTGTTTTTTTTCTTCTTCAACAAGTTGAAGGTGTTGCTTTTTATATACAAAAAAAAAAATTGAAATAAAAACCAAACGTATGCGAAACAAGTAAACGTGTCGTTGCTGGGCCAGCCAAATAAATTCAATAAAAGTCACTGAAATGTCGATAATTGAAATGCGTGCGATATGTGCACAAAACAAAAAAAAGAGAATAAAGAGACAACACAAACAGATAAACTTCGATGCAAAGAACGAATGACAGCGAGCAACCAACAACCAACAATGAAAAAAGAGAAAAATTAACATTTTTATATAACAAATTTCATTTGGACAATTCAAGCGAAACGAAAATTGCATAAATTTCGTTGCCAGCCGTTGTGACGGAAGGACACTGAAACGTTCAACGCTGAACAGGTGAACGTGAATCGTGCGAAAAAACGTGAAGCGCTTTTTATAGGCCTTTAAAAAGGTACACACACACACATACACGCGAACACACATTTAAGCAGCCCCCAGTGGCAGATTCAATAACAAAAGACAAATAGAGGTAGATATTTAGCCGTGGAAGAACAAACGCGACCGCTCCAATGCCGCCCGCCCATTATTCAAGTCAAACAAGCAAACGGATTGACACTGACGTGAATTTGCAACAATTAACACCAGAGAGCTGACATTATTATAAGTAGTACATATATATATATATATATATATATATATATACATACATAGATATATGTATGCTTCTATATTGTGTAGTGGGGTTATAAAATTCAAAGATGCCGCCGCCAACATCGCACTTTTCGAAGACAACTCTTAAGTTATTGCACTTTTCTATGTGGGGGCCCGAAAGATTTATAGCCGTCCTCAGCGCTTTTTATATGCCACAAATTCTGTTTGGTACTACTTATATGGATTAAAACACTCTGTGTGTTAAGGGACTTGCAAATTGAATAGGAATTTCGCAAAAATAAATAATACTTAGTTAGAAAGTTACGCTTCTTACTTTCAGTTTTTTTATTTCAGATAATATGCGATGAATCCATGATTGCATTCTAATTAATCGCCTTGAGTTCCGCTCCCTGCAACTTCCTACCTTTCTGTTCTTTCTACTATTTTATTTAATCATATTTTGATTAGCCCGATGAGAATAGTTTCCAAATCATTACTAAATGGGTCATTTATACAGCAAACCCCACTACCAGACAATCCAGTCTTATAATAACTATTAATTTAATTTAAAATTAATCTTACAACAAACTCTGCCGCCCAAATTCACTTAAAACGCTTACTATTATTTTTTTTAACTCAATGTGAAAGTATTAATCTAATCTAATCACTAACTAATTCGATATCATATACTTTTTTGTAAATCCTGAATCTTTATTTAAGAGCTGTACTATGTGGGACAATTATTAAATTTTATGAAAACTTTGACCTTCTCTTAAATCATGATTCAAGCGTCTACTCAGAAACGAACTCACTCAGATTGCGCCTAAATTCAATCTCTTTTTGACAGTAGTATTATCTCATATTAGATAGATATTTTATTCAGAACGCTTTCTCTTCTATGTTGTCAGTCACCAAATTTAAATCAACCATTTCCAAAATGTCCATTAAACAAATTTCCATTAAATTAATGAATTTTCTGTTTATTTTTCTCAATTAATAATAATTTTTTGGTGGTTTACATCTTGAATCGCCACTCTAGCAAATAAGGTGTACTTACCTTTATTAATTGTTGTTGTCATCATTAACTAACAGTTTTCTTGTCCAAGTCCTGTAAACAGTGTATTTGAACCTTCGCTGTGCCATAGACACCTTATTCCACTTGTTTTTCGACTGTCACTAAGCCTCTGACTCACACAATGACTTCGCTGTCAACGACTTTCTGCTGAACGATGTGCAGTGCATCCTTAATTATACAAACACACAAAGCACTTGTAGTAGGAGCAGTAAAATGGTTTTAGAGGGCCTTCTTCAAGTGTGCCTAGTGCAAGTCGCTATCAAAATCTTTACTGTTGTTTGTTTTTTAATGGAGGAGAAGAGAAAGAAAAAAGGAAAGAGTAAATAACATTTTTATTGTCTTTAGTGAGTTCATAAAGTTTTTGCATCGCAGACTGTGTCGCGTGGCTTGATTAACAATTGAGTTCACAATTCTGCAAGTCATCAAAAATGACTCAAAATATCAAAGTTTTTCCCCAAAAGATAAGGAATTGAAAGTGCACATAACTTAATCGTGATTGTTAATTGGTACGAGTTCTTCGAAATCTTTAAAAATCCAATACAATATATTTGAAAATAATACTCTGTGATTGCTAATTCAAAATAGAAGCTGCAATCAAATTCCAGATAAAAAGTACGAATTTTTTTCTTTTGAACATTTTTATTTAAAATGCGTTGGAATATTTTTGATTAAATATTCACTGTTATGCTTAACGCTTCTGCAAAACGCTATTACATAAAAATAAATGTAGATCCGTTATGACCTAGTAAGGGTTTAAACTCTTTGAAGAATTGAACTTCAAAAAATGTTATATCGTGAAGGTATTAATCAATAAATTGATGGATATTAAGTATCAAAATATAGAAGAACTTAAAGCGTGATTAATGTAGAAATGCACCTTTTTCAAAAATATACATTCCAGTTATTTACATCTATTGTTGGTCGTCATGATTTATAATATTCTCCTTAACCCACTAGAATGCACGTTTATGTTGTAGATGCATTTTTTCGTTTATATACAAATTTGTAGAAAGTGGCATACCTTGAAAATATACAAGTATTTTACAAGGCATACACGTAAGTTACACGAATTCGATTTCAATTACTATGTTCAGATGGGCAAGTAATTTGCCCGCAAATCTGTATGTTCCAAATCCAAGAATGTTTGAATATGTTGTTAATTCAATTAAAACTAATAAGAAATTTACTCTCAATTAAAAGTTTCTGCTACAACAAAGTACTTTGCGATTACCTATTCAAAGCCTTTTTAGTTTTTAGTTTTGGGTGCTAATTATTTGCATTTGTGACCATAGCTAAATTCTGTACTGCTGACATGCGATAATATACTGGCAAAATCATATAACATTGTTTGTATGGGTCCTGTGTCTTTAATTTTTTTTTTTTTTTTTTTTTTGTGTTCTTTACGCTTTAGACCTAACTTAAGAGTTGAATTATAGTGCAGCTCTATGATTTGCGCAAGCCTAAGGCAGACAAGCGCACTAAAATCTCTCTAAATCATTGTCGCCTGTTTCGTCCGTGCATCAACGTCTTCGTTGCCAGGCTGGGGCATTATCAGCGCCATCAATTCGATGTCTGCAGACAGCTTGTCACCATCGGTAAACATGCGAATTTCGCAGTCGAGCAGGCAAACACGTGACGTTGGCAATGCCAACACTCTAACGATGATAATCATGATGATGACGATAGTGATAATGATAATGATGGTGGTGGCGATGCTGACGCTGATGCTGATGATGTGATGGGGTAATACGAGGAGGCGAGGAGGCGAGGAGGTGAGCCAGCGAGCCAGCGAGGCGACAAAAGACACTTTGCATACCAAAATCAGACAAGGGTACACACATGCCCGTCATTGCCCGCATATTGCACGATGACTATAATTTGCGACTCGTGCCGCATCGGAGACAAGTGTGGTGTGATGAACTTTATTGAATATTTAACACTCGTACGGGACAAAACATTCAACAGTGCTTTATACCAGATATCATACTAGCCCAGACTAAACATTTTCAGATTGTTAAACCCCTTCGACTTATCAATACGGCCATAGAGCTTGCCACTAAATAGCATCACATTCTTCGATGTTTTTAAACGTATGGAGACGACGAAATCGGTTTCTGGCAAATAACTGGGCAGCAACTCCTCATCAAGACGATATTCGTGCACCGAATAGGAACCCTTTTGTATGGGACACTCTTTGAATATATTTCCATGATTCAGCAAATCCTCGTATATGATACGTATTAGCGGCTCCGCATTTCGTTGTTTAAGCATTTTACATAGGTTAACGGTACGATTCAGCAATTCCGACAAGTTCCCTTCATCGTTTTCAATCGCCACAGCCGCAGTTAAATATACATCGTCCACATTTTCATAAGTATTGGCCACAATGTTCAATGAAGTCTCGCTGTCGTTTTGTATTTGAATTTTGACATCCAAATAATTCGCATTGGCTTCATAGTCGAAGCGTGTAAATATGATTTTGAAAGAGCGCTATAATGAAAGGAAATTAATCAAACAACTATAAAACCACTCAATTTTTCCATTTCGTATTGAAAGAGAGGAATATAATAATATAAAATAATATATAGTTGAATTAATCGGTAATTATGGTATTTCGTGGAAATGGACTACGATATTTATTTGGCTTGTTTATATTTAAAAGCTTTGATTTCACGAAACTGTAGTGTGCTTTAAATAAAAAATGGAAATGCAAAAAAATATATTACTCGTATACATAGCATATACATTTTTTTTAAATAACAATATCGGCTCTCACCCATATATAAATTTGATTTAATATCGAACTTTGTAGTTTTTAATAATTTTTTAATATTTCGATTTATTAATTAATTTTACTTTAGAAATTAAATATTTCGTTACTGTTTCCTTATAAATTCAAAAACTAGTCCAGATAACTTAAATAACAAAATCAATCAATAAATAGATATGTACATACTTATACCAATGAAGTCGCGCCAGCCCTCTTTCTATACCTTTCCCTCTCTCCCAAAAAGTTCTTTCACTAAAACTTTTCTTTCGAATCATTTACATTCATCAGATACATATATGGTAATAACAAATGCACCGATTTTGATAAAACTTTACTTCTATATAGTATACCAAGTTTGTAGAATATAATATTTTATTATTTAGCATCACACCTATTTGTTTAGACTTTCTAGTACTCTTTGGTTAAGGGGTATAATAATAGGATTACAGACAATTTTTTGTACAAATTTTCCAACTATTTTAATTGAAATATTATTTATGAAGTCTACTCACCCAGGCCAATGATGAGGGAAGACCCACTAACAAGCCCAATATTAAGGCGTTACAAATTTTAGCTAGCACTTTACGCATCTTCGCACAATTATGAACTGCGTGATTTGCTAAAAACAATAAACTAGTTATAATGTGCGATAGCTCCGAGTCAGCATGACTAAGCCAAATGTTTCGGCATTAAAAAGCGCTTAGGCCAGTCCACATTATTTCGTCGGGCATCATTGGAGCGCAAAATCGTGGAATCGGCAAAATGGAATTTTAAACTGAAAATATCGGAAAGCATCTTAGGCTGCATGGTAAATTAAGTCACATAACTGTCATGTTTACAACTTCGAGCACATTATTGCAAATATAGTTTTTTGATAAAAATCACACAAAATTATTTAGGCAATTTCACTGAATTTTCCGTACACTATAAATAGCCATCCCGATAAACTGAACATTACAGAGTCTGAGTGAACAAGATGTCGGTCTACACACTATTGTACTTGGCGCAAATACTTTTGGCAATATTATACAGTCATGGCGCTCTGGCAGAGGTAATAATTTATGATATCTGTTTAATCGACACCTCAATTCAACGAAATTTTATCTTTTTAGAAAATGATGCGTCCTAAGATTAAAGATATGAAACTATGGAGCGATGAGAAATTTCTATCTCACAAACTAACCTACGATCACGCAGATCCCCACCTGAATTTTACTCTAGATGTTCACCAGGACGTGTCTGATGTAGATCTGCACTTTGATACGCGTATTATCAACAAACTGGATCCGTTCTATACGAGCACATTTAATATAACACTGAATCTGTGTCGGATCCTGAATTATAGCACAAAATCGCCGGTGGGTCGCTTCGTGTACACCTTCATCAAGGAATATGGCAACATTATCGAGTCCTGTCCAATTCCCAAGGTAAGTGCTGCTAATGAATTGTCTCTGTCCGTGTCCGTCTTAGCAATCCACTTCTACTTGACCCCCGTTTTAGGGTAAATACAAATTCCGCCGAATACATTTGCGTAAATTTCAGGGATCGTATGCCATCACCAAATTCTGGTATCCCGAGGATCCAACCACAGCCATGTTGCCGGAGATAGACTTCGAAGTAAATTTCGCCGCCTATCACCTCGATGCCAGCAAGAAGCGCAATTTGATCATTAACGATCATATTACTGGCGAATTCACGGTCCAGGATGTCAATAATCTAAAGCCAGGTATTTTCGCCATGTTGCCCAAAGTTGGCTAAATAGCAGTTGGCCGAGAGACCAAACAAACAAACTTACCTCTGTCCACATTTAATAGCACTTTCAATGTTTCAATGGTATTATTTAAATCTATTCAAATTTATATCTCATGTTATTAATGTAGCAGCAGGCCGAATATGCAATAAAGTTGCTCAAAAAAGAGTGCAACAATAATTGGAGTATTTATATTTGCTAAAGATTTCGACCTGAAGTTTTTGGTATTTATTTCATTATAGACTTAACAGATTTGATCAAAATGTAACCATAGCATAGCGCCTATATCTGCCGGCGCAGAACACCACTTTAATTTCTTGAATTTTAGAGTCTCATAGTGAGTACAGCTGGATTATACCAAGACGATTATAATGCTGATGCAGATCTGCTGTTCTTCCTACACTTGATCGGCTCACCAGAACGAAATGAGTCAACTACTGCTAATCGTGGATCCTCAAACCTCAAATGCACCCGAAACTTATTTAGGCTATTTTTCTTATGCGCAAAAAATGCAAAACTTTTCGAGTTTAGTCATAGGACTGACAAACAGTACGCAGACTATTTATTATATATAACCCTATATATGTAAAGTATTTAATAATGACATAAAAATGAAGGAATATTAGGCTACATACTAAATACCTTATCAGAATTCGATAGCTGCATGATTGAAAATTCTCAAATGTTCAAAAGTTATGTTGACATATAAATTTGCTTGGATTTTTGCGATTAGCTCGTTTCCTAATATTAAAGCCTTCAAATAAAATTTAGAAACAGAAAAAACATTTTCAATTTTGATGTCTGTTGAGTTTTCAAACCAATTTTCTAATAAACACACACTTGCCTATAACGTTCGAAATCAGAGCTCCCTGATATTGAATATTTTCAGTACTCATACTACTGGCAAGTTTATAAGCTATTCACAAATTTTCGAGCAATTTCGAAAACTATTTTATATGATATATGCAAAGTATATTTTTAATAAATGCAAAATATTCACTCAATAATTTAATAACTGCAAGAAGTTTTCAAAGATTTCGCCATCAAAAAATGCAGGACCGATCAGGAAAAAACATAAACCACATCTGGATTTTTAAGATGGTAAAACCGTATATTATTTTAGCAGATAATATTTAAAAAAATACGATATTATAATTAATATTAAAAAATGCATACACAAGTGAAAGCATTTTTGAATTTAAAAAAGATAAGTTCTACATCAAATGATATGTTTTTACAGTCAAGTAGCAAGAAATGCACTTCTTCTGCTTCAGATCTTAGTTTCTGAGAAAGATGCCCTTCTAATGACCAGCAGATGGAGAAAAACTGAAATCTGAATGGTTATTAATAAGATGTGGAATTTATTTGAGTACACTCCACCTGTTTGAAAATAATTCGACTTGAAAATATATTGATATTCATTGCACGACCCCACAAAACTGTAAAAATATATACTATATACGATTTCAATCTGAAAAAGTCACTTGAGGTCTGCAATAAAAAAACACATACAACAAATTCCACCTCATAAACCAAAAATTTTAAAATTTATATTGCGATCCGAGTGTCTATCGAGCAGGTCGTACATACTCGGAACACAACCAGCCGTAGCCAGACATGGCATTGCAAATCCATCAATGTCAGTTCGCATTAAATTTTTCATATTTCTCGTGCGCTATTTGCATATTTTTGCACAAATTGCAAAAATTGAATTAAAATGCCGTCAAATAGATACAAAATACGAATTAATATTCAATATATTGGCAATTGAAATGTTTGTGACTTCTGTCCTGTTTATTGTTACGTTGTGTGACAGTTTGCGAATTTTAAATACGATTCCAGTTGTTTTTTTTTTGTTGCAGTCGCAATTTTTTTCCAAACGCTATAATTTTGACAGCATTTGTTTGATTTATGCGCCAGTCAATGAGTGTGACTTTTGAGCTTGACTATTGATGTGGCATATTGGCGCACATTTTTGGCATATTGAGGAAGCTATAAAATGTCAATAACAAATTTTGAATTTTTTTCGTTTGGGTATTTATAGATTTTTAAATTGTTGACATTTTGCTGCTGATTGACAGAACGAGTCTTTGTGTAAATAAATGGCATTTTCAATATCAATCACAATTTCAATTACAGCCTACAATAGGTCTGGTTATCGATAAACGAATCGCTGGAATAGCCTTAAGCCCATCAAACTTTTATCAATTACAGTCACAAATTCACTCACGAGCTAGCCCCCAAATCGACAAAAAGGTGCAAAAAGAGAGTTTTTTATTGTGCTAAGCCCCAAAACACAAATTGGCAGACCCTGAATCCTGGCACACAATGCATTTGTTTTCACTTTGTTGAACTTAGAAAAGTTGTTTCAGCGCATGGCAAAAAAAAAAAGAAGGGCAGAAGAAAAAGTTCAGGGGTCAGAGCAACGGCCATTTAAGCTCCATTAGACAAACATACAGGACCAGCGGCATGTGGCCATTCATTGTTGAACTTGTGCAGCTGCTGCCTTAACCCTTTAAAGCCTGGTCTATTCAAGTCATTGTGCTTAGCCATTGTTGGCTGCTGGTTAACTGCTCAGCTTACGCTCCTATGGCGATTTAAGTTGTAAATCTTGAAAAATTGCCATTCAATGCAAACATTTTCAAAACATTCATCAATACGCTGGCAATGCAGATGCCATGGCGGGCTTTATATGGCCATGAGCTGTACTGCACCATTCAATATGTGTTATTGGTTGCGTTTCAAACAATGAAATGTCTAATGTGGCGTTAAAACGATTGCACTGAACAAAATTTACATTTTCTATATATTCTATAAATTTTTTATATATACGAGTACATGGTTGGAAGCTCTACTGATTCGGAAATGTTATTCAATTATTTTTTATAACAATCAAGTATTATTATGCTTCAAACGTGTTTTTTGTTCATTCAACAAGTTATAGTTAATAGAAATAGTATAAAAAAAACACGTAAAAAATATTACCGGGAAACAATAAAAATACATTTAATTTTTACACACATGCTTAAATCAATCTGCAGTGTTCAACACTGCAATACTTTACATCTAATACAATCACCTGATGTTGAAAACGATGTCGATGAATTATTACTCAATAGTGCTGTGGCCAATGGATGATGAACACGCACGGCTCTACAAAATCGCAGGCTTAAATAATAATTTTTGTGACTAGTGCATTCATTTATAAGAATCTTTCTTGTCGCACTAGGAACTAATAATAAATGAATTAATTAATTAAACATAAAAAAAGTTAAAAATTATTATTCAATTAGTTTGCCCTAATTGTTAAAATAAATTAAATATGCCAACTTTAGTACTCGCGTATAAAATAATAATCGTAGCCTATCTTTAAATTTGAAAGTGCTACTTACCATCACCATTCACATCCTTCTATTCTCAATCTAGCAGTTCGATTTAAGATCAGTTTTAATTTTAACAACAAAAACCACATCGGCACATTTTCTTTCCTCGCTCTGTAAGTAAACGAAAAAGATAATAATTTTCACATAAATCTTAATCTTTTATTGGTTAGTAAAATATATCGGAATTTTTGAGGAATGATTGTTGCAATGGACTGAAAAAAATTTAGAATAATTTAGCAATTGCAGAATCCGTTTTAGCACTTAGTCTTTCAATCCAAAACAGGTGGCAATGTCGAGGAATTGCGCTTAGAATTTACTAAGTTATTAAACTGCTTAGAATCCTATGTGAATTTAAATTTGTAACGTTATAGAAAAATTGTGTAACACATAGAATTTAATTGAAGAGAGTTAAATTTGGCTATAGAAAATTTTGAAAAGTAGAAACCGGACTCGGACTGTCAAAGCTTTTAAAAATATCGTCTTAGCATTTTCCAAATATCTGTATGCATTTATAGATAATTATTTTCACACCAGGTTTTACAAATACTTGCACCGTTCTTGCATTGAATACATTCCTTTCTTATACTCCCATGACTAGTTAGATGTCCCAACTTGTATAATTACTTTTTCTATGGACTGATTGCTCCAAAAGGCATTAATTCACTTCCTTTTCCATTATTCAATCGACTAACCAAGAGTTTTGCCTTCAAATGAAATCTCACTACAAGTATGTATGACTTGTGAGAATTGACAAGACTATGCAATTAAAATAAAGTAAATTTAATTTTAAATAATTACTTTTATATATTATGGTGGAAAACATTCGCTAGCAAAAAACTTATCAAGTAAAAAGTCATTTGACTTAAGATATGAAATAAGCAATGCTTAAAACAAATAAACGAATAAACTATAAATTTAAGACCACATTGGTAAATATAGAGCTTGGCAAAAACAAATATGAATTAGTATACTACATTTATTTATTAAACATTTATTTTCAACGCATGAAAATAATCTGTTTCATGACGTCATTCGAACTCACTTGATTAAGTTAAGTGCCTTCTTATTGTATTTTATAACTTTTTCAATTTCCTCAAAGACATGGAACTGGAAAATAAGCTGCGATTGCCTTTTTTTCAGTGCCTTTCTGGTGCGACACATTGCACATGCCGCTTAAATTGAAGAAAAAAGCAGCCTTCACATATGCCACAGCCCATATGTATGTACTCGTATATACTCTTAGACCTCGCACACACACACACACACACACAGCCAGTCAAATCTGTCCATTTGGCTAATAAATCCTTGAGCAGCTTATTGAGCAACGTCTGCGCATAAATATTATGGCTGCCAAGCCACCCAGCCAGCTAACCAGCCAGTGGATGGACTTCGTTGGATTGAGCCCAGAGGCCAACTGGCCTTCGCACGACTCTATTCACTTTTCACTTCAATACGTTCGACACTTTGGCTTTGTCCTCGTCCTTTGCATTACTTAAAGCTGCTTCCTATCCAACGTGCACGTGTTAAATAAAATTCTATTTCCTTCTTTTTTTTATTTAGTTTCCCTTCCTGTTGGCTGCCGCAAATTCTTAAGCTGACATTGGATTTCGGTTGAGTGTCGTGTTGGTATGCCCGCTGCCTATGCTATAGTTGCTGTTGTTGTTGTTGTTGTTGTTGTTGCTCTTGCTTTCTTAAGCACGCTCGTTGCACTAAAAGGATATGCAAATTGTTTGAATAGCAAACGACATGCTAAACAATTTTTGCTTCCAGCGCCAGTAACAACAAAAATACAGAAAA